GGCGCCGGGGCTGGGCCCGCCGGGGGCGGCCGGGCTGGGGGTGCCCGCCGTGACCCGGTCGCCCGGGCAGGGAGGGCTCCTGTCCCGCGCTTGGGCACGGGGCATCTCCCTGGGGTGTGCCTGTACCCCCGGGCCTGCGCTGAGAAGGGGACCGAATCCCTGTTGTGGGTGGGTGTTCGCATCAGTAACTGCGGGGCTCCTCCATGTGCAACCTTTCCTAACGCAGTCTGAAATCCCCTGCCCCGGTCAGGTTCCTTCTGGAAATATGACAGTGTTCAGAGCATTTCTGAAATGCCATGGCTTCGGTGTTGTTTTTTTTTTCTTTTCCCTCGGATTCCACATACTGCCAAATGGCGTAGCCTGCATGCTGAAGAAGAGGTTTTGCTTAATCTTTCCTGTCAGAAAGGAACGTGTCAGTGCCCTTCAGTTTGAGCTGGGGAGAGAAGGGCAGGGCCTGGAGGGAGTCAGTCGGGGTATGGAGGAGGCGCAGGGGGAAAGGGGATCTTCATCCTGGAGCTGTGCTGATACTTCCCTGATTAGAGATGCCTGAAAGAAGTGAAAAAGCATGGACACTAGTCAAACTGGGGAGAGAGAGAGAGAGAACTGTGAATTTGCATGTTATCTCTTTGGGAAGATAGAGAGAGCCTGTGAGCAGGGAACTGGAATAGGCGGGTTGCGTGGCAGCGTTCTGCAGGGTGGTGAACACGATGCTGCTGGCTTTCCCTGGAGGGGATGGTGTCTGCTGGAGAGCACGGGCAGGGCTGGGAAGGGGCAAATACGGGGTACGCAGATGGGGAACCTGCCGAGAACTGACGGGAGAAAAATGTACGTTGCACATGAAAGGTGTCATTTCGCATTTCACAGCCAAATGGTTTTGTGGTTGGCTTCATATGTCTGCAGTGGGTCCTCCAGCACGGAGGGCTGTGTGGGAAGTGGCAGCCTGGGCATTTGTGTGAGGCTGGGGCTAATCAGTCCTCAAAGAGCCCAAATAGAGAGTGTGGTGGAGTGACCCAGACATCACCCAGGGCCTGCTAGTGGAGTCAGCCTGGTCTTGGGGGCCAGCTCGGAGCAAACTGTGCTCTGAGCTCCCCTTACTGTTCCTTAAGCACAGCCAGTATTGGGAATACAGTGTGGAGGTGTTGAGTATCACAAGAAGTTTCACCTGTGAGAGTTTGTGAGCTCAGGTTGAGAGAAAGTAGCCGAGATGCTTTCAGACTTGAGGTGTCCCTGGCGGCAGTTTAGCCATGTTTCAGCTAACAAGTCCACGCAGGTTGGAGCTTATGTCTGCAAAAAACACACCAAAATAAAAAACTTAGCAACAAAATATTAAATATAATTGCAGTTTCACTATCATCTCCAGTATAGAGCTTATATCAGAGGAACCTACATAAAGGACATACAGAGAATTAGGCTGCACAGTGGGAGAAAGCATGTTTGGGAACCACAGGTGTGGATGGTGGAGGGATGTAAAAGGGGGAAGGCACAATATGAATCTCTTACCCATATTAAAGATTTAAAATGTTTAAACAAGTTTTTATAAATATGGACATTTATTTTCATAATTTCTTCGCATGTTTCTGTCCTTTCTTTTTCTATTTGTATCTCATCTATCTTATCTATCTTGTTGTCTTGCTGACTTTGCAGAAGGGGAGTTTTGCATTGCTGACTTTCAGAATTTTTAGAAAAATGCATGTTGGTCTGATTTAACCTCTAGTGTTCATTTACAAATAAAAAAAATGAGGCTAAAGAATGGTTACACCTGGCTGAGTATTTTGAAAGAAGTTCAGCCAACATCACAGAAATATGCTGCTACTTTATAAGAACGGCAATGTTTAAAATCAAAACTGTAGCTATCTGTTCAGCTATGCCTGTTAAAATTAGTGAATTGCTGTGTGAAACTGAAAAGTCTAAAATCCCACATCTAATTTCAGGATCTATTTCAATGAACAAGAGTGTGAACATAAAATGGAGCATTATTTTCTGCACAAGATCTAGGTTTTACTTGCTAAATAATATAAATCAAAGAATTGAGTAATTCTGTGTGCAGTTGCGTAAGGCTATATAACATAGAGCGATCCATTGATTTCAAGTAATGGAAGCTATTGATGCTGGTTGTCTCATGTAATGACTGAAATTACATTCATTTCATTATGTGAAATGGAATATTTTTGTAATCTATGGTCTTTAATGCTACGAGAATATTTACAGCATCGTGACATGAAATAAAGTACCAACATACCTACTTAAATAGCAGAACAAAAGAACGGACTTGAGGTGAGCGGTTTGGATAAGTAGCATGAGGTAATACTAAATGCTGAAGATCACAGGATATACAAGATCTGACTTATCCTTAATTGTTCATATCAAGAGCTTAATATCTTCCTAATGCATCCATGCTTCACAAACGAAGTGTAATTTTTTTGTGGGCCATATGTAGATTCCATGGAAACACATTTCTGCTCTTGTTTTTCTTCAGTGTTTTCTTTGCTAGTTTGGTATAGCTGTCTCTGCTAGGGTGCTGTTTCCTACCCTGCTAGAAGAGTGGCAGCAATTGTGCTTATGATATAAAAAAATAATAACATATATTGATATATAATGTTTTTGTGTGTAATTTACAGATGAGGAAAAACATACAGACTGATCCTGCAGGTGATTTTCTAGTGCTGAGATCCACCCATGTATAGCAATGTGAAACGCAGGTCCTTTATAGGAGGAATCAATGTACAGCTAGTACAACTGGGATTATTTACTATTTAGGAGAGTAAGTTAGCTCCTAAAGATTGCTCTGCATCTCAAGAAATATAAAATGAAGACATTGTATTTGATTAAATTATTTGTATCGTATTTGACTAAATTAATTTTCTTTTTAAATTTTAAGTGAATGAATTTATTGATTTAAAATTGCTGGTATTTAACTTGCATCTTTAAATTTAGTGACACACACTGAGTCATTATAAATGAGACTTAAATCAACTGTGTAACATGCCTTTCATTAAATAGGCAGACTGTGTATATAGCAGGCCAGGGTTAATTTTTTTTTCAGCAGACTGTGAAACTTTTATCAACATTTTTCTAACTTTAATGGCTAAATGAGATTAATGACAACACCTGTTAAAGGCTCATCACTCTCACCTTTCTATATAACATGTTAATGTCTTACAATTCATGTCATATGCATACTGTTGGGCTTTGCAAAACCAGGGAGAGTTGTCAGTGCATTTCTAATCTTTATAGAGGAAAAGGAAAAAGACAAAAAGAAAGGCAATTCCCATATCCCTCTCCAAAAAAAAAAAAGATAAATATATTAAAAAGTTATTAATAAAAAACTTTCAGGCCCTCACTGAACTCCATATAAATACATATTAACAGAATTTCAAGAGTCAATTTTTAAGAGTGTCTCCACACTTCTTGAATACTCTGTTGGACATGCCAGGGTAATTAATAAGATAAATTCTATTCGGAAGAAAATAATTGACCTTATCTGCTGGTTGGTTAGTTTTATGTTGGTTGAAATAGGTCGAAGTGGAGCTCAATATAGTAGAAGATGTTGTTCTGGCAGTGGCCTGATATACTATACCTACGACTTTCTTTGAGCTTGTAGTAGTGTGTAATAATTCAAAGCCCTTTTTTGAAAGTAAGTTAATTAGCTCTTAAACTGTAGCTTGGCAGTGTATTGCGTAAGCATATGGTAGACTTTTTTGGAACACTTCACCTCATGAGCTTCACATCACTGAGTTTGCAGTGTTCTGTGATCCCTGTGTATAGCCTGTCAGAGGAGTACCTCCATGCCCACAATCAGTTGATTGAACAACTAGTACAAAAGTAAAATAAAATTTAAAAATTATGGAGGAATCGATGACAGAAATTTTGTAGCTAAGGTGAAGTTGATAAGGAGGTGCTATGTCTACTGATGTATCTGTAAGTGGGATGTACGCTGTGGCTTTGACCCACAGTCGCAGCTCGGAAAGTGCTGCTCGAAAGTCAGTGTAAAAATGCTTTTAAGCAACTTCTCTGTTCCTCTGCTCCTGAAATCTGTCATCACCAAGCTATTGCTTGGTAGATGTTAGAGCATCTTCTAGGTTGTTGTAAGTTGTGCTGGCCATGAAGCTTCTTTGTAGAGTTATTAGAGGGACTCCTATGAAGACATCTCACTGGCATGTTGTCTCTGGCTACAGTAGTCACACTGACAAGAGCTGTTAGGTTAATGCGTTTCTGTCTGATGCTGCAATATGCTGCGGTGACCTTCCGCTGACCTAGGACTACATTGCACTGGTAAAGGCAGCACTGAGGCACCCAGCTGTAAACCAAAATCACTTCTGCATGGTGCTGCTTTTTTCTCATCTAGGTTGAACAGAGTTTAGAGGTAGGATGTAGATTTGTTGTGAGCCTCATAAGTGATTATGGGTGAAGTGTTAGAAGTAATTGATAACTGTTCATTCTGAACTTCTGTCCTTGTTGCAGAAAAGCTCAAGGTAAAAGGCATGCTTCAGTAAGGCATCATTAGAGGAATAAAT